ATCACCCTCATGGTCTTCCTAGGTCTCCCTGTCAACTCTCCTTGTTCCTGATTATGAAGGTGTATTTTCTTCCCTCAAGAATGGTGGGCCTTCCTACCTTTCTTCCGTGCTTTTCCCCCCATCTTACCTCTTTTTTTTTTTAATAAGTTTTTTTTTTTCACTTGATGTAGTATTTTTATAGCTGTCCAGACGCATTTTCATTTCATCTCACTTGGATGTTAAGTGAGCAGCACTATCCAGATCGACTATTCATTTTGGTATAATATGCATGAATTCTCTCTGACTCCTTTTCTTGCCCTATTTTTAGCCTGTCTTCCTCTGAGTTTTGGTTTGAGGGCATAGGTTTCTGTCACATTTACCTTCTACAGCTTAAGATTAGGATAAGAACTAGGAGGAGAACTTAGCTGGGGCTGTGAGCAACTCTTTGTTAGAGAAACTGGTATCTGCTATGTCTTTTAACATTTTACTCAGGTCCTCCCTCAGGATTTGCCCTCTGTTTTGGAGGGTTTTTTTCTTTTTGAATGGGAGCTTTGAAGCCTATGCTTTATCAGAACCAGCCATAATTTTTCCCTTTCTCAGTTTTATTCATCTCTTCCCAGCAGCCATTTCTCCTCCACGCAATTACCCTCCTCGCCCTCCCCTTAGAAGATCTTCCTCGGTACTACTTCAGCTCAGCACTTCTGCCTCTGGGGGAAGGGACAAAGTGGTATGTCTCACCAGGTCAGAACCTCTCTTTCTTTCCTTGACCACCACCATTTGACATGGATGGCCAATGTGATAGCCCTCTTTCCTTGTTGGGTTGCTGCCAGTGAATGTTTTGTTGTTTTTAACATTTGTTTTGTTCTTCTCACAATTTTTCATCTGTCCTTACTCAGAAGTTCCAGTGTCACGTGTGTTCACCATGAGGCATAGGTAGCCTTGGAAGCCAGTTGTTAGCTTATTGCTAAGAGCATTTCAGCAGCAGCTGAGTGACTGACTGTCAGGGTGTTACGGGGAAACTTCATGGATTAAGACTGACACTGTATTGCCTAGGTAGCCTTTACATCTCTCCAAACTCTTTGACTTTCATACTTCTTTTCACTTGGAATTAGAGCAGCTATCATTAAGTTATAAGACACATCTATCCCCAGGGCTCCTAACTGGAGACTCCTTCCCCTTCTTCCTTTCCCAGCCAGAGCATGGAGGGGGGGCCTCTTTCCTTCCTATAGTTTTAATCTATTCTTCTGTCAAGGCTTGTAGAATATAGATTTTGTAATTTGGTTCTATTTAAGGTTATTTTAGTTAGTATTTTTGTACCCAAAGTCCTTTTTAAAAATGTGTTGGATGCATTCTATCACTTGCATAATTTATGTTTCTGGTTTTGGAATTTCTGATATTGAGGTGTGTTATTGGGATGTATTGGTCTTCTATGGGTTGTGTACTGAGAAGTAATGACTTGTTCCACCCTCTTTGGCTTTTTCTTTATGAGATTATTAAAAGGTGTTTGGGCCACATTTGTGAGCACTTATTTCACTCTAAAACAGTTACCAGGACTTAAAAATATATATTCCAGGACGCCCAGAGACTTGGCTATCTAGTGGTTCCATCTTGGTCTTTCTCAGAGCCTGGAATGTACTTCTGCTCTTGGAAGCCTCAGTTAAAATGAAGACATCATCATCAGGTTGCAAAATGATTTAGTCTGTGATGGAAGGCTGCACTTTCAGGGACTTCAGAACTTCAAAATTTCCCTCTTGAACTTCATGTTTAGTGTGTGTTGTGGAGGGTAGCATAGTGGATGGAGCACCATCTCCTATTTTGACCTACAAAAATGACAATTTCAACCTAATAGTTTCTAGGCAATAAAGCCATTTTCTCACCCAAACCCCAGCCATCAAGCCATCAAGCTCAGCATCTCAGGAGACTACAAGATGCTACCAGATACTTACACTTGAGGGCTATTCACTTCACTCCCCCAGAAGACATGCCAATCTGCTTTAATATATGTTGAGTGGACATACATAGCCAGTATAGTTACCTGGAGCACAGCCCATTGCTTTTGGATTAGGGAACTTAAAGCTTTCCCTCCTATATTATAGGGAGTTCTTTAGCTGGCCTTTACTTAAGCAGGTTCCTTGGTGATTGTGCATCCTATTCACCCCTGTAGGATATATCACCTTAACATAGAGACTTCATTGACTGAACATTCATCCTTGAGGATGCTGTATACTTTTACATCCTCCACATTTTCCATAATTTACAACCTCCTGATCACCATTAACTCCATTAGACGTTATTGTCGGTCAACCTAAAGTATGTAGTAGTCCAAGATAAAGAAGATACCCTACTTCATGTTTACCATTGAGATATGCCTACAAGTAAAGGACTGAACTGGAAAAGCCAAAAAACTCTTTTAACATTTACTTATATGGAAGAGGCTAGGGACCAGTACAGTCTTGAATTTAAACACAGATCCATTTTGGTGATGGCCTTTGTGGTTATGAATCTCATCATTAAGATGCATTAGGGTTTTTCTTCTGGACTCTACCATTTATTAGGAGAAGACATGTCTGCCAGATGATGCTAACAGCAAGGAGTCCCAGGCAAAGACCAGAAAGGGCTCATAACATCGAGAAGTTGGCCAAGTAGTGTTGGTTTGAGCAGATAAACCTGAGCTTATTTCACTTTAAAAGGTTCCAGCAACCCTGAGATTTATTCATTCATTAACTAGCATCACTGAGCAATGGGCCCTGACAAAATGACAAACTACTAATAATTTATGAACATCTTTCTTTATGCTCAAAATTCCACTATCTCTATTTCATTTGTTCCTAATTTTTAAAAATGAATAAACTGAAATCTGAGCATGGGCAGGGTCATTGATCAGTCTGCCAGAGCTCTTCAAATAACTCAGAGAAAGTTACTCTGGAAGTACATTATTTAGAGCCTAGAATGAGGCAGCACCATTACTAACGATCTCATAGCGACTCTGGTCATATGTTTTTTCTTGGGGGAAGAATTCTGTAATCCTTCCGCCTTAATTACAGGTCAACTGGTTATTTTTCCCTAGAGCATGTAGAATATTTTGTTTTAAATCACACCCATTCTCTCAGTTTTTCTGAGGCTTTTGAGAATCAGATCTCAGTAGTACTCTCTACCTCCATCTATTTCTTTTCAGTGTGTTAACATACTTAAATGATTTTAACTAAAACTTATAAATTTATTATAATAATGCTTGGTAGTGTAACACTGAACAGAAATAATAATGTGTCCAAGAACTAAAAATATTCTAACTCAATAATTCATAAACTCAGATGTCTGAAATAATGCAGTAATATCAATACAATTTTAAATTCTCTCTTTTGTTGGGATTAACATTGTAGTTGTGTGAATCAGAGTAAAACATGCACATTAATTTTAAATAAAGAAAACTTTACTACTTGGTATATAAGGAGAAGATGTGTATATTATTTATATATGTGTATATAATATATATAATATATAATAATATATATAATAATATATATAATATAATATATATATAATATATGTATGTGTGTATAATATATTCTATATATTGCCAGCAGTAGAATAATAGGGAAGAAAGATCCCTAAATTTGAAATAGACACAAATTCACTAGACTGTGTCTTTGTTCTCAGATGCAAAATAAATGTTTCTATATTACTTTATACATTATTTTGTTCTGGTAAGTGTATATAATGAAAAGTGGGTATCCTTTCTTTCTTCTCCAAAGTATAATACATTTATAAGTGGTCAGACATTTCCTGTTCATTTTCCACTCTAAGAAAAATCACAGTAAGGAAAAGTGTTGAAACCTGTGTTTATAAGCCCATTCAATTTGTGTTTTTGCAATTAAAGGATGAGAATTTCAAATCTCAAAAGAAAATAACTTCTGAAATCTAGTGTAGCATGCACGTATGGAGAAATGAATGCTATCGCTTTAAGATAAGGTAGTCTGGTGATTCATTGCACGAAACAAGAAACAAGATCGATTTGGAGCAGGCTCCTACTGTTAGCTTTTTTGAAGATGGATTCTCACGCCGAAAATAACACAACATATTCTAGATAGCAGCAGTTTTTTCCCCTGAAATCCACCAAAACTGAAGAAAAATCCAAGTGACTGTTCTTAGCAGCTGTGTGGCCTGGAGTTCACTGGGGAAGCTGGCTTCCTGCAGTCCCCTATTCATCACCTGCTTCAAAGACAGCCTGGCTGGCTATAGTTTGCAGGCCAGGTAGGGTGCCATTGTGCACAGTCTGGGAGGATTAGTATCAAAGCAGCGGCAACCAGGCCCTTGGTCTCGGGCTGCCATTCAGTCTAGCAGGGAGAGGCTAAGACTGGCCAAGGTCACAGTCTCCAGTGTGGAGTGGACTGGGAAAGGATCCTGAGAATAGAATGCTCTTTATGAAATCATGGCGCAAGCTTGCAGCACAGCAGGTGCCCTTCTGGAACACATAACATCTGTTTATGTTGGTATACCGTAGCTGACAACGAGATAATAGAGCTTTGAAATTTATCATTTTATTTTTTAAAAAGACAACTGTATATACAATAATCCAGATGCGTATTTAGCTTCGAGCTTTTATTTGAAAATCATAAAGAAAACTGACCGATTTAATTGCTGCTTTTACGTGTATATATTGAAGCAAACAGCAAAGCGTACTGCCTATTAACCATTTATAACCATTGCTGATCAGTAATACCCGAGTTCTTGGGTAGGAAATACCTAGCATTCGACATAATTTTTTTCAATGTTCAGGCATTTATGTCAACAGATTGCAGAACGATTTCCTGAATATGCCCAACTGTCTTGAATATTAGGAGGTTTGGATAAAATCCCCACCCCCCCTCCCCCCAAATGAGAGTATTTCAAGGGTGAGGTAATAATGACGCAAAAATAAAATTTTCAACTTGGACAAATTAGAGAAAAATTAAGCTGTCCATGAGTTGTCATGACGACAAGGATGTTCTGTTGATGAACTGTCCTCCTCATTGTCCAATCAGATAGTAGAGCTGAAGCTGGAGCATGAACAGGAGAAGACGCACCTATCACAGCAGCATAGCGCAGAGAAGGATAGCCTAGTCCGAGACCATGAACGGGAAATTGAAAACCTGGAAAAACAGCTTCGCGCTGCCAATATGGAGCACGAAAATCAAATCCAAGAGTTCAAGAAACGAGATTCACAGGTAATTATCAATAATATTTGATAAAACGGGTATCTATTTTTAAAAAGTCATCAGCGTTTAGTGTTTTCTTATTATTCTTGTTGGTGCACGCTGTTTGATCATTTGCAATACTGACATATAAATGTGATTTTTTTGTTTTCTTCTCCCCACCCCCCCGTTTTGAGGATGAATAAGGCTTTAACTACAGAAACCACAGGTAGCCAGATTAAAAATCCCATGGCGCGCTATAACTTGGCCCCTTTTTTATAATCTTGTCTCAGTTCCTTTCATGATGGATTTTTTTAAGGTATCTGCCCCTTACCCCTCCCCTCAGCCTCAGCAAATCCCTATGAAATATATCAGCTTCACTCCTTGCTTTTTGTTTTAATCTCTGTAGGTAATCAAGCAGCTCTTTTAATATTTGCTTTTCCTTCCTGGTGTTGCTTTTTTTTTTTTTTTTCATTAGACTCTATATTTGATTAGATCACTCAGATGGTAATTGATAAAAATGACTCCAGAGAAGGGCTATTTCCCATCAGGTCTGTGGCTTATTCCTACATGCGCATGCACATGCCTCCTAGCCTCCATCTCTGTAGTCCCTGTTGGAAGCCATTTGGCAGAATAACCCCCAGCTGTGGTAGCATTTGACTCTTCAAACTTATAGATGAAATGTGCACTGTCAGCATGGAAAATTATCTTTATAAATTTCAGATGAAAAAAAAATCTTATTGGGTGTGTGCATCTTTGTGGTACAATAAGTTCTTTAGGGTATATATAATCAAAGGCCTTTAGTGTATCCTCTTGAGATTGCTGTGAAATTTTATTAAAGAAAAATTGAGGAGCAATTGATAACAAAAAAAAGATAATTTTCTTTTCTAATAAAACCATATCATATATGAGGTCTAAATACCTCTTTTTCCGTTGAAATCCTAACCATATTATTCATACCACCCATAAGCTTCTTCCTAGTTATCCTGTCTCGCCAAATAATACAATTTTTAAACAATGAAATAAGCCTTCTATTTGTGATGACATGTGTTTAAACGATTTTATGATCATCTAAGCAATAAAAATACTGATTAAATAAGATGTTTATTTCTTGGGTGGAGGGCGGGAGGCGGTAAGGCAAAGAATAGGAGTTACTGGTTATTTTTCATTTGACCTTGAGTTGTCTTTTACCTTCGGAGAATGACCGGGGCACTGTGAGTATACTCGGCACAGGTTTTTTTGTCAATAATATACATTTATAGGAAAACTCTTTTCAATTTGTTTTTTGGGGGTTTGCTAACTAAAAAGGTAGTCATTGTAGTAACCATGGTACCAGCAGAGTCAGGTGGTTCCTGCTCAATGTGTATTTATTTTGCCACCAACCTCATTAGAGCCTTTATAAAATATATGCTGATGTTCTGATTGTTAGCTGTATAATTTACTAAGAATATTTTCACACTTACGTTCTCCTTCAAAGATGATGCTTAGCCTTACCATTGTCTTCTATGATAAAGTATTTGGGTTCCGAGTCTGTGTAGGGTGTGTTTGCAGAGTAAAATTGAATACTTGATACAATAAAATACACTAATTTATATAACTTCCTACTATTTTGGTGCTGTTGTGGAAAGCGGACAGTAGCGGAGGCCAAATTTAGAGGAAATCTTTGTGATTTTACATACATCGTATCTGTCATATATAGGGTGCGGTTCATGCAATAACAAAAGGGAAATTTTAGAATTATTACATATAATTAAGCCTCAGGGAGAGTACAATAAGTTTCTTAATTGAATTTCTTCTAACTGAAATAATCATTATGAGGACCATATGACCTCTTCAAATGCTATAGCATAGGATTGTGTTTCTTCTATTTTGTGTCTTTCTTGGAACAATTGGAATTGCTGTCATGCGAATGCTAGTAAAGCAATGGAAACTAAGGCTAAATGCATTCTTGATCTGAATGAAAATGATTTTCTGTGTAAGCTAAACTTGGTTGTTTTTAGAGAATGTATTTTTTAAAAAATTTTGCCAATAAGTTATATTTTTAAAAACCTTATCATATATACCAAAATGCTAATAATTTGTATTTATTTTGGTTATTCATTGAGGATATTAATTTAAAGTTTCCTTCAGGTAAGATCTAAATTTTCCAAATATATCTTTTCATGATTATGATTTAAATAATGTAATGTATAATACCTTTGAAGTCCTGAATTCAATGCATAAATTTCAAAAAAACCAAGTGGACATATATTTTTTTAAAATAGAGGATTTTTTTTTCATATCGTTGTTTCGTGGCTTGATACATGTATGATGTATCTTAAATATTGGATTGTATAATTTTTAATTTTAGATCCAGAGAGATTTGATTTTCAGTTCACGTTTGGCTACTCCCATTTGGCAATGGAGGCCATTTTGTAAAAAGGGCTGTTTGAAATACTTAACCAAAAGAGGACCAGTGAAGTACCTATTTTGGGTACTATGGCTTTGCTTGTCACTTTTTCTTCCATCAAATTGTTGAATGCAGGCAAAATACTAGAAATCTACCTTTGGCTTCTTCCAAGTACATAATGTATTGTATACTGATAAGAAAACCATTATTGTAAGGTATAGTTCCCTACCATCAGGTGAATCGTATATCAAACAGGAACTCCCTTTTGGTGGAAAATGCTGTATAATTATTACAGGTTAGTTGTTACTCAAGTAATTTCTGTTTTATGGAGAAATCCTAAGATACAGTAATGCAACTAAGGACAATTAACTATTTCTCTCATTTGATTTGGTGCATTTAGCTAATTATTCTATGCGTGTATTATATCTTTGTCATAACTTGATTTTCAGTCAAGTAGGATATTTTATGTTGTGATGCTTACATTTGTTAAAATGCACATTAAGTTTTACCACCCTCATACAAGATAGTCAGCCTGGTATCTACCTAGGGTCATAATGTTTAAGAAAAAGCACCCAGATCAGTAGATATCAAGACATATTAGAAAGTTACAACCTTACTGTCAAATATTTCTCATTTGCCAGATCCCTCTTGTTGAAATTAATTTGGAGGATGATTTGATTGACTTAATCATGTTTTTTAATACAAAGAAAATTTATAGTTTTGTTATGACCATCTTAGGAGAGCTTCTTCTAACATGGTGGTTCTGTGAGTCATTTTGCTTTTGAACTGCAATGTAGTGAAAGAATTTCTACAGTTTATTCCTTTGAATTACAAGAAAAACAGAACTTAGGTTCTTTGACCTCTTAGTTGTTCTTTTAGGACCCTGAACCACTTGGAGATTCTTGATCTTTTATGTTTGTCGCCAGAGTGAATGGTGCACATGCATCTGGTGATCTGCCCCAGAGGTGGGGTCACCATTGTAGGACAGCTGTCTATGTGACCTGTTGAGGTACAGGCACATGGAAGACTCAGGGAACCACAGCAGCTACTGTGAACCGCCGTCAGTATAGTAGGCGAATGAACACGGCAGACTTGGAGAAGGTTATCACGAGATCCAAAACTACATCAGACTTAAAATTTGTATATAGGACATTGGATCTTGCCTAACATTGGTGTCTCGATGCCTTTCTTGATTTCCTAAACTGAGAATCATGATGCTCATATGAGTGAGTTTTGCATAATTAAATGGGCAGATCATCTTGATTTTGCCATATTGATTCACAGTAAGAAGCTGCCCTATTGTTAATTCTAAAATGTAGGATTTTCAGAAATCCTCCTCTTTCTCTCTTCTACTTAAAAAAATTTTCCAGAAAAGATACTTGTGGTAAGACAGTTTTAATTTTTAAAATTATATCTCAATCACATTACTTTATTTTCCATGAATTTGGTAATCTGGGCCCAAAATAAAAATGTCCATTTATAAACTGGGTATGCACCTGCGTGCTGTGGATTGAATACTGGCTATCATTTTTCAAGGATTACTTATGGATGAATTTAGCAACATGCATGTTCTAAACATTTCTGCTAAACCTATGCATGGTCTTTGGGCTTTTTTAGGGGAACATTTTTTTCACTGAAAACATTGAGTTTAATTTCTTTATGTGCCAACCACTTTCAAAAAGGATTTGAGGCAGCATTTTGTAATAAACACACACTTAAAGAGGTGTAATATATAACTGAAAATAGTCATTAAGCAATAAATGATATTAACCCCACCAGAAAACCTATACTTTAAAAAAAATGCTTTAGTTAAGTACAAGTTTTAGCTCTGAGCTCACCTAGAAGCCACAGCAAAGAGGGAAACAGGATAAACTGTGTAATTCTATGAAAGAAATCAGATTAGTTCATTTTTTTTCTAGCTCTCAGTTCTGAGAGAAATTGATGACACAGGACTTAGTACAAAGGACACTGACCAATATAACTGACGATGATCTCTATATGTTAAGACATTTGGAAATAAAATCTGGTGGGACTATCTTAGATTCTTTAAGTACTTTCACAAAATGTAATTAGCCGGTTTTATTTTAATATGCCCAAATTTCATTTTAATTAATGGAGAATACCATCATTCTCAATACCAAAAAACACACCTGCTTCAGGAAATCCAATTTTGTACATATTATGAATCAAATGAAAGCATATTTTAAGTCATGAGCCTAGCAAATTCTAGTACTTTTATTATATGACAGATCCTGAAATCCTTACAAAATATCTTTAGGAAGTACAAGTTAGAAGCATGGCTGAATTAGAAATAGTTTTAAGAGTTAATGCCCTACTGTTAATTTCCAAGAACATTACTCTCTTTCTTCTATCTGATTCTCTTGTCCTCTGAATTTATATTATGGAAAACTGTAAGAAATAAAATCAAGTGGTAATTTGGTCCAGGAGTGTAGGATATTTTTATTCGTACTAAAACAGTTCGCTTTCTACCTACATAACCAAACTGGTATTTCATCATCAATATTTATTCATTAGTATCATTTACTTGGTTTTGAGGTAGTAAGTATTTTTATTTCTTTGGGTTGAACTGGACTGATCACTTGGAAAAACCAAACTATGTAAATATTTTTCCCCCAACGTCATG